CTTGTAACCCAAAACAAGGTTTGTATTCAAAGGCATAATAATATGGCCAGATTTGAATTTTCCATTTCAACTTAAAGCTTTTTCTACGGCCATGTGCCGCTACATAAATATCTTTTTTTCTCGTGCTTAGCATATTTCTATAGTAGTTCTATAATATGAAATATAAAATGTACTCACCTGGTACAAAAGCGACCATTTCCTTGCCGGTTGATAAGCGGACGATAACGCATTTTCGATTCGCAGAATTAGGTTTTTTTGGCTTTCGAATTACAGTTTGCATGACTACGCCTTTTGCATATGGTTTCCCATCTAAAGGATTTTTCTTCTTCGTATATTTTTTGTACGATCCAAATAGATGCAACCTTGTTAATGATGATCCGAGTCTTATCTGTAAGCCTAATTTAATTAAATACATACTTATAACGTGAGTTTGATAAAACAAATATAAAGTAAAAATAACAAATTAGGAAAACAATTTAGAATTTTTTTTCAAATAAGCTATTAATATGAAACAAATTTCTCTCTCATTCAATATATTCTAAAAATTGATAGACTCCTACTGTTTACTACATTAAGGTATGTTTTTCCTTTTCCCTTCCAATAAATATTCTGATTGAATAAAAATGAAATATCTGCGAATGCTTGTGACGAACAACTTTGTAGAGCGTAACACGTAACTTTTATTTTCCCCCCATTTCTTGAGTAGTTTTGCCTTTCTCTCGCTCGCGTTCCTTTGTCAAAGTTTCAAAGATAAAAACCTGTATTTACCAAACGAAGAGGACGTATTAGGCTTCATGTGGTCGTCCGAGGAAACACCCTTGGTTTCCAAAAAAGTCTGAGGGAAATAAAAGGAGTAGTTGCGAAGCAATTACAGGCGTGATTCTCTTATCTTCGAGACATGTATAGCCGTAAAGGGAAAGTAATTGCTCGGTGAATGGGCACAATTGGATTTTCACTGGAAATTCTTCGATTACGTAACGACAAACCGGGCCCAATTAGCGTCGAGCCTACTTTTCGGTGACGAAATTACGCCCAGAGACACGACTTCTTAACTAATTGTCGATCTCGATAAATTAGGAAACGTTGAGCAATGATTGCCTCGCGAGAAACTATTTACATGTAAAAGAAATAGAAGATCTGAAATAGAAAAGAAATAGAAAAATCTGGACATAATTTCTTCGAAAATAATTGTTCAAAATACTCGATAAAATTTTTTTGGAGACAGTTCTACAAAGATCTCAATGCAGTTTCTTTGAGAATAATTATTTGAATGTCTTCATATAATAATTCCTTATTTCTCTCGGGATAACTTTTCAAAAATTTCGACACAATTTTCACGAGAATTGCGTGAATGGTATGAGAAAAAAAAATCCTACAACATGACTAAGGATTACGACAAGGAAATAGTCCCCAAGGATGACCATGTCCTAGTCAAGGCTATTGTCAACGAAGTCTGGAAAAATAGGAGACCCACTGCGTGGTAACAGTACGGAGAAACTGAAAACTCTTTCGCAAATAATCTTACGAACCGAGGGAAAAGAGGGTTGCCGGAGTTGATGGAATATCAAATATGACGGACGTTTGACATCTGCAAGCCGCTCGTCCAAGTCTAGACCTTTTTCGCTGAAGCGTGTATAAGCTTATTAAGAAACATTGTTACGACGCAAGGTCCATCCATCTTTGTACAAAACGCTACGATCCATGAGATCGCGTAATCTGAAAATGAACAACAATTTACTGTTTGCAAAATTGGAAACAATAAACAGTACATAGTGAACAGTACATGAAATTCTTCGATTGTCTTCCTCTATCTAATTCTTTAAGTCGAGTAGTTATGATATTATGTATGTATGCAAATGGAAGTAGTAATTACAGTCACAAGACTAATGATTATAGGCTAACACGCAATTAATGTTTGCCTGGAGATAATAGACAATTTGTTGGAAAAAATTCATATCAGAAGGCGAAAATACTTTAAAATAGAAGAGTATTATGAATAATAAATTACCACCTGCATGCCAGTCTTCAAAATCATTTTATGAAATTTTTAATCATTTTATGAAATTACATAGAGGAGTGAAAGATACTTTAGAAACAGAGAAGATACGTTAAAGCGTCTTCTATAATTTTTCAAAGAAAGCAGCAATAATAAAATATCAATAAAAAGTTCCCTATAATTACATCGAACATTTCAATTTTCCACGAAAGATTCTAAATATTCGAAACACTCTCAAATCATCGTGCAGAATCTGTTGTTCACAGTCGTAAGAAAGAAATTCGAAGAAATTGGCCTAAAACATTCTTAAATCCGAGAGATTCGTAGTCGAAGTAAAATATCAACGATGACACGACAATTTCGTGATATTTCCTTGGTCGTTCATGGAAGTCCACGATTTAACAGGGTCTGTTAGTCGAGAATGTGCCATTGTTGTTCATTTCGAGATCTGACTGACCACCGTTCTCCAACACGACAGATGTCCAAGCCTGTTGCTACTAATCCAACCTAACTCGGACTTAACTAGTGCAAGAGACCAGCAGAACCTATTATGCATAGAAGGCAACCCTTTTTCTCGAAAATCAATACGCAAGATTACATTGCGAAAATTCACAACGTCGTAGTTGCGCCTTTGTTGCATACACGGTGCCAAGAATCTATCACTCGCTAAATCCGAGGCTTATCTTTCCGGTTGCGACTGTTTAGTGAATGAAATAAACAACTGGTGTAATTGGAAACTGATAAGAAGGCCTTGCTCGGAAAACAAACATTGTCCATAATCTGAAAATATTGGGATTAGTCGAGTTTCAAGTTTAGTTTGAATTAAGGATCTCATTCATTTATGGAAAAAAGGAAAACAGTGAAAAGTGAATAGAAAGACGTTTTTTATATTAGAAAAGGAAGAAAGATAGTGAAACGTGAGAATGTTTAATAAAATTAATGAAGAATATTGTAGAAATTGTAATAGTTTGTTCATGATGTTTGTATTGAGTAAACTAAAGCATACTTATAATTGTACGAGTAATTTTTTACCACAGTTTGCAAATTTTATAGTTATAGTTTTGCATTTATCATAGAAATACAAATTTAGTAAGGAAATTGAAAAATGGAAAATTGCACCCAAAATGGAAGAAGATGAATACGATGATAATAATCTATATAACATATACAACATATACACTTAAAAAGATAATATTGCATGCAATGATTTAAAAAAAATAAAAATGTGTCCAATGATAACATCCGTTCCTAATTGTCGAGAACGAAACTATCCCACGAATGGTCCATTGTATCGTCGCGAAAACTGGGAAAATGCGGATAACAGTCTTACTGCAGGCTGCATCCTTCACAGGATCACATCTGACAACTGGTCAACAACAAATGGACACGTCACCCCTCCGATTCTCAGCGATTTTCGCTGTTGGCCGAGGAAAAGCTTACTTTCTCTCATTCGTGTCCTTTCTTGTGTAGTAGCCGGATCCCTTTTTGCATTTTGAGATGTCTCTTCTTTCTATTTGTAGGCATCAAAGAGGTAAAGCGCTGCGTGTGCTTTTGCATGCCACGCGCTTTTTCGCGGACGAAGAATAAGGGAAGAAAATCGTGGTCCCTTTTTAGGTCGACCACCCCTTTTACTGCATTTACTCCGTTGAGAAAACGGAGATACCGATCTTTCGGAAAGGCTTACAGAAATTCGAGATGTCACTCGAATTCCTATGAAATTGTCTGGCCTGGTTACACTTATGGAAAGTGCAAATAATACCGATGGACCTTCACACGATTTCACGTAAATGGGTCAATGCTGGTTTTGGTTTGCTTCAAGCAAAGCCCTTTTCATCGATATTTTGAAAAACTTCTGTATTTTTCCAAGCGTTCCAATTATTTTTGTTGAATATTTAGGGTTTTGATATTTGCTTACAGTATGATTACGAATTCTTTTACTAACAGCTATTAATAGCAATTTTTTATTTAGTAGGAAATTGAAATTGAGAGATTACTAAGTTCTTATTAATTGATAGATATCTTATTCTGCGATATATTATATATGTAATATTGTCTTTGATTTATAAAATATAGCTTACCTTGTATCAAGCTTCCAATATATGAGTTAGTAGTAGTCAGCACATTTCCTATTCAGAAACAAGAATATTATTTTTATGTTATTACAATAAATTATGTTCTAAATTAATTTTTCCCAATCATAGCCTTATAATATATACTTAGAACTCTGTTAATTAGGGGAATAATACCTTGAATTCCAGGATATGCACATAATCTAGTTAACTGTAGTTTGTTAGCTGTGAAACAAATATATTTTCCATTAAAATCATGTATAAAATTAATATTTATTAAAAAATACGCTAAAATAGCAAGCAAAAATTGATAATTTGGAGTGATACAAGGATTTATTTCTGACAACAAGAACTAATTACTTTTAAATAATATTTATGGTATGTATATAAAATTAGGGTCATAAAAAAATATGAATTATTATTGGTAAACAAAAATTGTGATATTTTCTATTTGGATAATTTAGGTTAGAGGTTAGGTTAGGTTAAGTTAATTCTCTGATATAGTAATCGTACCTATGGTGGAACTTGTAAGACAAGATCTAGCTCCGCTCACCATACTTCTTACTAAGGAATTCATGATTGTTCTAACTTTTAATTGATAACCACACAAATTTATAAAATACAACTTTGCATCTACACTCTTACAATTCTATCTAGCGACAAAACATCGAATCTCGTTACGTCACCAGAGTGAGGATAGATAAAACCCATTTCTACATTATCTTTATCTGGGACACGAACCCTATGACTGTTCATTAAAAATGTTAATAAAAATAATCAACTCTTTCGTTAAAGCTTCAAGAATCTTAAAATTAATTTTATTAAAGTAGGTTATGATATATATTCAAAATTTTACTTAACGGTTAATTACATATAGCGTATGGGGTATAACAGGGAAACAATAATAACACTGATTACAAAATTATTAAAAATTTATTTTATGGTTTGCAGTACAAAAGCTCCTTTCGCCATAAAATATGTGAAAAGACGCAATACCATAAGATCAGAAATCAGATCAGCCAGTTAACACTGGCTTTTTCACCATCCACCGTGTCCTCTGGAGAGTCCTCCAAGACCATGTCCTCCAAGACCATGTCCTCCAAGACCATATCCTCCAAATCCACCGCTAGAGATACGGATGCTTTTGGTGACTACCGGAACGCTGTATGATACACTACTAAGTCCTGTAAGTAAAAAAATAAAAAGAATTTTTTGTCATATTAGTAAACTGACAAGTTACAAGTCATAGATCATCTTTATAATATAAATATAGGAATTATCAAACATATCCTATTGTTTAGAGAACAGGAGTAGCCCTTGCAGAAATTAGAATATATAAGATTAGAGTAAAATTTTCTGTATCGTCACCTCCTCCATGACCTAAGCCACCTCCATGACCTAAGCCACCTCCCAAACCATAGCTGATGCCTCTCTTCTCGATTACCTTTTCCTCGGATTGGGCATACAAGGGAGATGCCAAAGCGAAGATAGCAAGAACAATCTGAAAATAGAAAGTTAACTTGTATGTGATAATCTTGCAAGTATACTTCGTAATACTAGTCTAGCCTATATACTTCGACGTAAACACCTAAGTTCCTCGTAAAATATAAAATTATGCTTTCCTTCGAAAATGTAATTTTGTTAGTTAATAGCTTTGTTTAATTATGTTTAATACCAATCAAATATTTCTTGCTGCTTTCAATGAGTAATTCAAGGTATTAGGGTAAATTCCAGGTATTAGATCCTTATTTGTTAACATCGTGTACGTAGCATATACATTTAACCACTAATTAAAGCGAAGCAGTAATTTAACATTATTATGAATAGGTAGTATAAAAAGATAAAGAGTACAACTTCAAAGGAATTACTCACGAGAAATTTCATGTTGCTAGTGCAATGTAATGTGTAGCGACGGTTGGTTCGCGACTGAAACTGATGCAGTTCGGATAGAATACATCCCTTTTATACTATTCGAGCCTTTTTCTTGCGGTATCGCATCCCGGCGAAGTTGAATTACGCGTGTGTGTGCACTTGCCTACACGCCTTTCTAATACGTTGTTTTCCCGTCGCTGTCTTGTCACGAAAATTTTTCAACGCGAGGCTACCAGCCACCGCGATGATATTAGCCGCACGGTACCGTCAATTCTGTTGGAATAAAATAGGTCAATTGTGAAGATTAGTAATAGATATCATAAAGAAATCGTCATTCATACGCGAAAGGAATAGATTTGTTACTCTTCCTGGTTTTGAAATCGATTTGACCGCTCGAAATTCAAGCAGTCGTTACCACCAAACTTAGACAGTAACGTATACAGGTTCTCTTGCGCACACGAATTTTTAATTAAAGAAATCGCCAAGTGTTACGTTGATTATTTTCCTTTCTCGAGTAAACTTCTCGTATGCCTAGTACCACGTGCTATTATTATTATTACTATTATTATAAAATATTATGATAAGTAATATTTTTAAAATTACGGGAAGAGTGGAATAAATGTATTCAGACAAGTTTGATAACACGTGCGACAAAGTACTCAACTGTAAAATACTCTTGTAAAAACTAAAGCGATAGCTTATCATGTTCTTCTACTCTTATATAGTATTATATTTACGGTTAGCTTAAGGATGGCATCGGATGCTCCAAAAGTGGATGAGCTTCTTTGACATGTCGCGTGTACGATGACCCTTTCTCACTCGATCCAGTTGGCACATCGGTTAACAAGAATTTCAATACGAGACGTTAGCTCGTATTTTCCGCGCATCTCGAATTTCATCTATACTGTGTGACTTTCACTGTTACAACGTACTAAGAGGACGGTTTTCGGTTGCATCGTTACGTAAAATTACGAATGCAAATTTTTATGTTGCATCTTATGGTTACACTTCCTCCCTTGAGTGTTGCGTAGGGACATCGAGTAACAGCGAATTGGACTAAATATTCTGCGTATGAAAAATAGGGATATTGAAGTGACACATCATTATTTATATATTGAATTTATTATCAAAGAATTGCACTCTCTATGAAAAATTATTGCAAATATTTCCTACATCAAATCAGAAATCTTTGTTACGATTATCCTTCTTCTAACACGACTTTTTAAATGAATTGCTGCCACGTTTTCTTACAATTTACACTATCTAATATAAAATGAGTTTTTACACCCTTTATTGTAAGGATTATGGTAAGAACAAGTTTATACTGTTCAAACATATTTTCGTAAATTGAAATTCGAACCCGTATATCATCATGCAGAAGCGCTAGCGATTTAATATATAGGATGCCATCTAAAAGCACTATTAGGATCTCAGACATGGTCCATTTCAATATCACGAAAGGACATTGATGAATGAATTCGTGATTTCCAGTTGCACCTATATTATATCATAACTTCAGAAAATAATTATTAAAATGATCCCCTAAATTCATCGAAATATATATTTGAATTTCAATATAAGAGAGGACGATTTTTCAAATAGAGAATAGAATACCTAATGAAAAGGAAAAGTTTCATTATTCAAAGTTTTGTAAACAACTTTCAAAATGCAATAAATATTTGCCGTCAGAACGATTCCATGCAATATTTTCTGATTGATTAATGGCTCGCCCAATATGCATCGCCGGTTTTAATATCATGTGACTCAACTCTAGAGCTCGATAGGAATCTGAAAAGCAGAAGATATAAAGGTAGGTTGATTTAATCGGCATTTTTCTCGTTTGTTTCGTTGTAAAAGTAATTATATCATTACGATTACGTAAACAGAACGCAGTCGGTAGAAATTGAACAAATTTCTTATAAGTTTACACATGTGCATATTACTAAGTGATTAGTTTCGAAAGGTATCAGAGATCGCGGACAGGGTTATTGTGCAAGATCGATGAAGAGGGTCGCACTCCGCATCATTAGATTGATACCCGGTAATTTGATAAGCGGCTAACTTCGAAATTGCAATCGTGAGCTAAAACGAACCGAACCGTGTAAAGCCTGATAAATTACGGCTACGTTTTACGTTCATTGGCTGTGGTGATGTGTAGCCATTGGGGTTCTGGGACCGTTCTTCTTCTTAAAGTACGCCAGTCGACCATCCGAAGATAATTTAAACTTATAGTACGCAGATTCTAATAAATTTACGAGTACATATATTTTCAAAGATTTTTAATACATTTCATTTGACGTGACTTGACTACAAATTTAAATGATACATTTTATATGACAATCACATGAAATGTGGAAGAAGTGATATATTTAAGAATTATTTTTAAGAATTGAATTAATATGAGTTAATATGAGATGAATACCTTCGTTTTTAATATCGCGAAAATATTTTTTGTTTTATAAAGAAAATAAGAAAATATATAAGATAACAGGGTATGTAATACGTATAACAACGGTGTCAAAGGAGGATAATGATTTTTAGTGGAAATTTTGTTATCGACAGAAAAGAATACTCATTAAATAGGCAACACAATGACCGATAGATGGCACGACAAGGTATTGAAAATAGTGCTAGAGTATTGGTGCTAACCTTTCCGAAGTTATTTAATAAGTGTCAGAAAGAAATAATAGTCATAGTTATAACGTATGAAATGTTATCAAATTGATTTATAAGATTATACATATATTTCTTTTATTAATAAAGCTATATTTGTTTTGATTACTACTTTGCTATAAATATGTTACGATTGAGTATTCTACAAAGTGTAAATGGAGCAGTTTTAAAATTAAACATCAACGAAAATAGATTTTTAACCAAATGTATGAATAATTTAAAGACAAGCAGTTATCAAGTTATCAAGTTATCAAGACAGCAAGTTATCAAAAACAAACAAATTAAAATCTGTAAATGAGTTTAAAGTAATGGTAAACATAAAATCAGTATCTATTTTTGGTTCTGAGACAGTTGAGAATTGTGGAATACAATGCATTGAAGATAATGAAGATTTAAAAATTCCAACTGTAACACACATTGTTAGCAAAACCATGTCTCCCAAAGTAAAAGCTGCTTTAGAGAGGTGGAAGAAAAATATGATTGATATATATGGAGAAGAGCGTTTTAAATCATACTGTAAAGGCATAACATTTGTATGATGAAAATGAGAATTTTAGATATTAACAACTGTTATGTATTTTAGGTATATTGAATAGTGGTAAATTATTTCATTCTTATGTACAAATGATGTTTTCAAAGAAAGAAATTGAAATTCCACCTTTTATCAAACCATTATACCTTAGTATAAAACCATTATTGAACGATATGAAAATTTTTCATAGAACTCAGACAAATGTGATACAACATTGGGATACAAAAGTGTCATAGATTGTATTGCTTCCTTTAGGTATAACAGAGATTGCCTTTATCGTTACTAGGAAGTATAACTTATCATGTGGTCATCAGTATAGTACGCTAGTTTTTAATTTGAAAATTACATTTTTGTACTTTAAAATAGTATTTGTTTAGAGGTAAGACATATTTAATCGACTGGAAAAAGTCAGGGAAACGGCAAACATCGCTTGCAACAACTTATGATGCACCTATACAAGTTGCTGCTTATATTGGAGCTATTAATGCTTTTAATGAATATCCATTTAAGGTAACTAACCTTTTAGAAGTAATATATAAAGACATCCAAATAGTTTTATGCAAATTATGTAATTGCACTAATAGATAGGTAAAGGTTTGGTTACTGTTGCTTATACAAATGGTGAACCTGCAAGTATTCATGAATTGAAGGATGACGCCTTACAAATAGCATGGAGAGAATGGTTGAATAAGTTGGAACAGTTTCATGCAAGTTATTACAAAGGTAGTTTAAATACTTAATTTATATTTGTAAATTAAAATATGATACATATTATACTACTTATATATTTCACTGAACAAGTTTCATAGTATTTTTGCATAAATAAAATCATTATAAAAGATCATATAAAAAGAGAAAGGTGTTTCTTGCTATATACTCTGTACTGTTATCTTATTCAAAAATAAAAAATAATAATTTATATTAATTCCATTTAATATTACAACTTCTCTAACTTTTTATCAACATTATTTAAAAAAATAATCTTTTGTGATATCAAAGTAGAATAGTCATTCAAACAAATTGCATGAAAATTAGTGCGAATCAATTTCTCTTTATTTAACAAAATTGCATAAAAGAATGTCCAGAAAAAACAACCCATAATATTTAATCTTGAAAATATAATTAAATTACGATTTTCATAATAAAATTCATTCTTATGAATTTTGTTTTAAATATCTATATAAAAAGCGCTATCTTTCCAAATAATTCCTCGTGTCTTTTAAATATGTTAAATACCTATTAATATCCCAATCAGTTACAAAAGTTATTACATAATATCTTCTTCTCGAAAATTATCGTTTAAATATAATTTACCATAAATTGCTGTGCTAATAATCGTAACAGAGCCTACCTACGAAAGGTATCAAGAACGTTCCATACGTACGGAGTCGCTTCCCCACCTGTCTACGTTGGTTAACATATAGCAATTATAACTTGGAGCCAGCCACCCTCCGTAGGGCGCGACATTGCCCAACTCTCCGTTACAGGCTCTTATAAGCATGATGCGCAACCCTTCGCATGCCCCTGGGAACCGTAAACTAATGCTGAAGCTATGTAGCGGATACGTATCTTTCATTGTATTTCGCCGTATTTGAATTTTCGAGTAATTCTTGACCATCCAGATTAGCGTGGCATATGGCGAAAGTTAACTACAGCAGCAGACGTCGAAAAGCTTGTTTACGAATAAGCTGATAACGAAATGACGCGATTTTGTTGTGTTGTTTGCTGCTTAATTGGCGTTTAATCTGCTCGTATTCGTGCATATAATCTCACGGGTACCTTTACGATACTTATATGGAATTTCGGGATAATAATGCTGCTGTTTATTCATTTTACATTAAAATTAATTATTAGAACGGTAATTAATGAAATTTACAATTAGTAACTAGAATTACAAGTAGCATTAATACAAAAATGATTGGAAGTAATAAATCGGAAAGGAATTCTGTTTCATATATTAACAATAATTCTTGGTTACAAATAACAAAAATTATATTGGATAAATATTTAAAAGAATGTAATTGAAGATTATTACGTTATTTACTCTGTTCTCTGGACTCAGCATTGATAAATTTTCGTTCATTTTGATCATTACGAAATATTCAACGGATTATAAAGGGTGAAAGGTTTAATATAATGGAAAATCTAACGGCAGTAACTTTGAATATATTATTCAAGAGATTAAAATAACAGATAAAGTGAAACATGTCTTAAAGACCAAGATAATAATAATTATTCAATAATAAATACGACAATCCTTTCACATTAGGGTATTTGTTAACATTTTAAGTTGTGGAATAGTGTAATACATTCTAAAGTTCTTTGCATCAGTTTCAAGATAAAAAGAAGATAAATCCAAGCAATTGTTATTTCTTTTGGATAAAACAGACGTGTAATTTTCTATTGTCCTTTGAATTAATTAAACGATCGCTCGAAGAAAATCACGGAGGATACTTTGTAGCTGAGAATCTTTCTCTTCACAAGAAACTGGAACTATTTCGACTGAAATTATGAAAAGCGTTCTTATGAGATTTACGTAGTTGTCCCAAGATAAGAAGGCTGTTTCCATTTCTTTGCGTGGATGGCAACTCGGCCAACTTGTAATCTCAGCACGCGATGAGCCGGAACACAAGTTCGTTCTTGTTCATCGTCGTCTACATTGCCAAGGGTGTACCACGAATTCGCTGAATTCAGCATATCCGTACTATCTTGCATTCTTATGTTTCTTTCAGAGGGGATGAGACACTTGTTTGCCCCGTATGCTATCCTTTTCTTTCTCGAATGATCTGGAGAAAAGTGAATCATCCGAAAGCTTTTTACCGTAAAGAGTGGCGACATGGAGTGAAATTGAATTTTCTCATGAATGAAAGCATGGATAAAGCTCACATACTATTACTGTTTTCCTTATTCATTGTGGCAACAACTTTTAACCCTGACGTGATTTTTAAATTTTTATGTTTCGATCTTTCAAACATTTGCAATATTTTAGGAAGATGTTTAACATAACATTGAAACGAAAAATTATGCATACTAATGTATTAGACCGCAGATGTTTATGCATTTATGATAAATTTAGATATACAAGAACGTATATATACATATATATATAGTCGTAAATTGTATTTTTTTCTTCTTATTTTATATATATATATATATATATATATATATATACTTACTATATATATATATATATATATATATATATATAGTAAGAAGATATAGTAAGAAGAAAAAATACATTTTACGACTGTAAAAAGGATATGACGTATTTTTATTCAAGACATACGTATACACAATATCTTCAATTTTCGTTGCTAAAGTATAGAATCATAATTTACAAGTAAAATTAAGAAAGAGATATAGTAAAATTATGCTGAATATTAATAGGTGAATTTTTAATCTATTGCAGTCTGTATTTTATACGTAATAGTATTATGTAAATGCAGATATATTACACACGGTCGATTTTTCATATCCTACGATGCAGAATCCGCTGCTACATGTATTTCAAACTACGTTCAATATTCATTTATAACTCTACGATCAAGCAGAGCTTCATATAACGTCTTTTTTCTTATTTTCATTTATGTATAATTATTCTCTTGTAGGTTGACAGGCAGATCGAAAACATTCCGCATAATACTATTAGCTTTAAGATTTTCAGAATAGAAAATACAGCTGAAGCGATTATTCAACGTATTTGATGTCTAGTCACAGTTATGGTTGTGTTATAAGGTAGATTCTAAAAATATTATGCTATAGAGTACTAATGTGCTTAAGGCGCGTTCGGTAGAAAGATAATCATATTTTCGGATTAGACGTTTAGCGAACAGTAGCCACGAGACTGTCCTAAATCTTCTAGCTAATCCTTGCTGATCCTCTCGTAACAGGGACATATTTTCATTGGTCGGTCAACCCCTGGTGTGAACCACCCTCCTTGAACGAGATGAGTTATGAAAACGATAACTTTTACAGAGGGAACCTCCTACGGTTATATCTGTCGAGACAGCAACAAGCTGTAGTTCTACACATTAACGAATTTATATAAAATCTTTTAGAAGCAATACTTCTATGTAGAAACCTGTAATATTTCAAACGATTTTTTATAGATTATACATAGCACAATTAAAACGATTAGTCAAGGCTCATTAATGAAAGTATAGCAAAGTATTTTCAAAAATGCATCATCTAATATATATAAAAGCTGTTAAAAGCTTAAACGTTAATATCGTGAAGTACGCTTGTACTTAGAATTAATAAGGAATAATCAGGATGTGACAAGCTGAGATATTATGAGCGATTAACTTAAGCGCAGACGTTATTCTAGACTTTGCAGAAAAATGTTTTACAGAGAACGCTGGTGATACTTCTAAAGGATATACAGGGCGGTTAAAATTAATTTTCTGTTCATTTTCAAAAATTAAAAAAATTAAAATCTGCAAAAAATTAAAATCTAGGAATTCGAAAATTTGACGATTTAACGATTCAAAGACTTGAAAATTTGAGAATCTGAGAATTTATACATTCGTATGAAGAAGAAGATACGTAGTTAGCTTCTGATCTGTTTAATTTACGTTTGCGCACTGTACACGTTATAACGTGTACAATATATCTCGTGTTTTCCTCAAGTTTCTGGAGCTTCGTAATACGTAATAACCCTTTTGAATCAATGGATCTGAACTATAAAATTGATTACGTTAGCTAAGAACACATGACATCAGTGCTACAATACCGTAGACAATTTATTTCCTTACTTCTTACTTCTCATGCACACCCGACTGTTTTAAATCATCGAACATACACAAAACCAAAATTACATTAACCCAAGCCTGCTTTGTTAACACAAGTTTAATATTTCATTCTAAACATAGAACAAAAGAGATACATAGTAACGAGTAACAATACCACGATGTGGTATGAATATGAATAATAATAACACGAGCAATCAATTCATTCCCTATCTCACCTGTAACCCTATCACAAGATGATTTCAATCTCTTGATCCAAATTGTATACAAAATAAATCCACCAAGCAACTCTCGATCGTCCAAATTAATTCTCATCCTCGGTAGATCCAAACCTACCAAAGATCGATATCATATACCTGGAGTCTCCGACAGTCTAATCTAAACCCACCCTAAAATCGAAACTTAATTACAACGTCACTTATCCTCCGATAAGCACGGCGCATTCACCGGCCAAAATGAGCCGATAGGATTTCTCAGCTCCCGGGGCGATTGCTCGATTCACGGTAAATTAGCCGGAAGCCGGTGACGTCGTGGCGGTGGGTAATAAAATCATAGTCACGCGATACATTCTCCCGCGGTCGGTTGTTTTCCTGGCGGCGATCGAAATAAATCAGCTTGCGACTGTTTCCCCGGGTGAACTTATTTCCCGATTACGACGGGGCAGCGTGCATTTATCGTGGCGCGGCACGACTTAACGTTCTCGTGTCGCGAACTAACGACAGCGGGGGTTGGCCACCATTAATAGCCAGTCGAGTGTGAAGCGGAACTTTTCTCCTTGCTTCGTAATAACGCTGTGCACGTATAAGAGGTCTACGGGAGAAAGAAGCAGTCTGGACCAATCACGAAGCCTCTCTACCCGGAAACTGGAGCAGGCCTGGAATTAAGAAGTTTTCATCGCGCCGCTTTTCACGGCACTGCTCTTCTTCCGCGAATCTTCCGTTAGAAGGAAGAGACCTATCTACTGGCCACTCAACCGGTTGAGAAAGGCTTTCCCGTTGAAAACTTTATAAATACGTCGAAGTTGGATGGCTGAATAGTGAAAGAGGATGCAAAGGGGTAGTTGGAAGACGACAATGGACGTTGA